ACAGAGTCTTGCTCTGTTGCCCAGGCTGGAGTGCAGTGGCACGATCTTGGCTCACTGCAACCTCTGCCTCCTGAGTTCAAGCAATTCTCCTGCCTCAGCCTGCCAAGTAGCTGGGATTACAGGCTCATGCCACCACACCTGTTAATTTTTGTATTTTTTTTTTTTCAGTGGAGATGGAGTTCCACCATGTTGGCCAGGCTGGTCTCAAACTCCTGACCTTGTGATCTGCCTGCCTTGGCCTCCCAAAGTGCTGGGGTTACAGGTGTGAAGCACCGTGCCTGGCTACACCAGTCTTCGTTTTATAGACACATTGAAAGATATCATGGAAGTAAACTGTTGAACAAAACATGTTACTATCAATTCTCATATGTCAAATGTGAAAATGGAATACAATAAAATGTTTAACCAGAAGCAGACATATAGGTGTTGATCTGAATCTAGATGCCCAAGAAGCTGAGATGCTTCGTCTATGGATTATGCTTTGTACCACAGAGAAATAACACATTCTGTCATTGTGGTTTTTGATTGATTTAATTTGTTCTCATCTCTATGGTATATTTATATAAATTATCTGGCAGCAGTACAGATCAAAATCTTGAAGCACAATTTTATACCTCAAGAGCAAATGCCCAAATATTAAGTTATGACAATTTTTTATGAACTGTAACTATATTATTTTAATAGTCATTGATAATAAGGCCAAGCGCAATGGCTCACGCCTGTCATCTCAACACTTTGGGAGGCCAAGGTGGGTGGATCACTTGAGGCCAGGAGTTCGAGACTAGTCTGGCTAATATGGCAAAACACCATCCCTACTGAAAGTACAAAATTGGCCAGGTGTGGTGGCGCACACCTGTAGTCCTACCTACTTGGGGGGCTAAGGCAGGAAGATTGCTTGAACCCGGGAGGTGGAGGTTGCAGTGAGCCAAGACTGCACCACGACACTCCAGCCTGAGAGACAGAGCAAGACTCTGTCTCAGAAAAAGAAAAGAAAAGTAATTGATTATATATGCCAGTTTTAAAAAGAATTTGTTGCTAATTCAATAATTAATGATATTTTTAATTTTCATTTTTGTAGGTACATAGTAGGTGTATATATTTATGGGTTACGTTAATAAATTCATATAATGTGTAATAATCACAACAGAGTAAATGGGGTATCTGTCACCTCAAATATTTATCCATTGTGTTACAAACAATCCAGTTACACTCTTTTAGTTATTTTAAAATGTATAATTAAATTATTTTTGACTACACTCACCCTGTCACCCATTATTATTATTTTATCCATAATTCATTATTTTACTTTTTCATGAACTTTTTTTACCATTAATTTACACAGGCCAATAACATTTTTAAGTAGCTACAGGTTCCCAATTATTTGGTATTATGATCCCTGTATAATATGAAGACAATAAATGTTCTATTGTTTTCTGTTCAACTTTTGTTTTTATCAAAGCAAAACATATTTTAACTTTGTCTCTCAAATAGGTAAATGATGATGTTGGAATAGATTGGACCAATGAAAATGATCGTCTACTGGTTTGTCAAATGTGTATAAAGTTGGCTGATATCAATGGTCCAGCTAAATGTAAAGAACTCCATCTTCAGTGGACAGATGGTATTGTCAATGAATTTTATGAACAGGTAACTGACAACTGTTTAATATAGCTTAATCTATACTTACAGGTTGCTCATGAATTGCTGAAAGCTTCTAACAGCTATGAAAGTGTGATCACTCTATTTTATATTCATATTTTTATCAGAAATTGCACTGGTCAATTTTGATCAGGAGATAAAAAGTGACATGTAAAAATTGGACTAAAATATAATCGTAGAACTCTATGATAAAGTTACTTGCAAGCATTTGCAGGGGAAGAAGATACTGAGATAGTGGAATTCAGACGTTAGGAAGATCCTTGAAATACTGCTCTTTATAGATATATTTATTATCATAGAAGGTAGTTTAAATGTATATGGAGTAGCTTATATGTATATGGTAGTTTAAATGTATATGCATATCACATTAATTTCACTTGCTTTCCTAAAAAATTATTTATTATCATAGAAGGTAGTTTAAACATATATGGAATAGTTTATATCTATATGTATATGGTAGTTCAAATGTATCTGCATATTAGATTAACTTCACTTTTGTAAAAAAATTATTAACAGCATTATATGAAAAAGCTAAAAAGAAATAGGCTTTTCATTTGACATGATAATGTGAGAGTTAACAGACTACTCAAAAAACTACCACAATTACATAAGCCGGGGTTGATCCTTCTGACATTAGCCTACACCAATCAGAATGCACTTGAA